TTTAATTATATTCTGGAAGAATCTAATTGTTTAAACTTTCAAATAAAGTGGTGGTTCAAATTAGAATACGAAAAAATCATGACTTAAATTTCCTTGTTTATTGAAATTTCACAATATCTTGTTTATTAAAATATTTTCGTATTCTAATTTGAACAAGAAAAATTCCACATATGATAAACTCGTTAAATGCACGAACTCTGCTTCATTACTGTCAAAGTTTACACTGCATACATTCATAATGTTCCCACAATATTTTGAAATCTAACAAAATACAGAATGAACTTTGTATACTGCATTTAAGGTTTTTTTTTTTTTCACCGAAAAGATAGTTACTTATATATATATAAATTTCTCCAAAAAGATTATTTATTTTGTAACTTATTTTTTCACTTATAAATATTACGGTTAATGGATTTATAATTCATTAAAAAACATAGCAACTTATTATCAGGGGCGGAGCCAGAAAATTTGTTCAGTGCGGGTATAATTTAACCCATGTTGAACATTGTGTTTTGGTTATGAATTTAATGATGATAAAACTATAAAACAAAATCATGGGTTTGGGCCTAAAAATAAAACCCATGTAAATTAAAACATGTTTTTATTCCACCTTCCCTGTTGCTTAAAAAAAAAAAAATGAAAAAAAAAGTTTGGGCCTAAAATTTCAGCAACGTGGCTCCGCCACTGCTTATTATGCTCCTATTTGATGTCCATTAAAAAGACTTATTTATTTTTTTTGTTGGGAAAAATGAGTTTAAGAATAGTGATTTTTAAGAATGTATAGTTAAAAAAAAAATTGTGTTTACATGTAAAATATTTTATTGTGAAAATGTGTATTTAAAAAAAAAAAAAATTTTTTGAAAATAATAGAAAAACAGACCAAGAATCTTTCACCATATTCTTAAATTCGTAAAATTGAATGATGTGCTCTTATCTAAAGACAAATTAAAGGTCCACTGGTTGATGAATATGAATTGGTAGATACCATTTGAAGCTGATTGCATGGACCAAAAAATATACAAACACCCGACCTAGTAATTAATGCATATCCTGACATGCAATTAAATTGTAAGATTAATATTGAAATTTGTAGTTGCACAAACCTTAAGCTTCTTGCATTAATTGCCTTCACATGATTCCAAGTTTCTTTTCTTGTCTCCTCTGCCTTTATTAATTGTGATAGTGTTCAATTACGCAATATATCTATCGTAACAGGATTAAACAAAATTTGAAAACAGTAGTGCAATTAACACATAATGTCTTTACTTTTCATTATTATTGTGAGAAACGTCATGATTACCTTTCAATTTTTGGTATTTTCAGTCTTATTTTCACATTTCGTTACGCAAAAGCTCGTTTTCGTTCATTTTTTAAATTAAAAGCTGTAAAATGACGAATATACCCTTCTAAAATTTAAATATGAGAGTATATTCGTCATTTCATAGTTTCTATTGAAAAATCGGATGAAAATATATAAAAATAATGGTTTACGCAATTTAAGTTGTAATTAAGGGTGAAGATCCCAAAAGAAAAAAAAAATTAAATGAAAGCTATGAACGTATTTCACAATAATAGTGAAAGATATGGACATAATGTGCTAATTGCTATTTTATTAATTGATTCGAGACTCGTTTCCATTCTTAAGAAAAAAATAATAATAATAAAGACTATGATTGCAATTAGTTCTTTCTTTTTGTTTTTGTTTTATTTTAAATAGAACGATATATTCATTATTTCACAATTTTTTGTTGAGAAAATGGATGAAAATAACCGTTTCAGCAATGAAAAAAGGAAATAAGAGTGAACATGAAAAAGAAGAAGAAGAAGATAAGGACGTTTTCCACAATAATAGTGAAATGTAAAAACGTTATGTGCTAATTATCCAAAAATATAGACAAATAAGATATGTATTTCGTTATTTCAACTGATCATATTATCAAATCAAATGATAATCAAGTTTTCTAGATTAAAGTACAAAAGCATTGAAATTTTTGATCAAAATACTATATGCAAAAAGGTATGAACCGTCAGGACAAAAATTCTTGATACTGAACAGCTAACATTAATTCTTGATACTAAACAGCTAGCGATTAATTTTCGTGCTTGCTTTACTTGTCATAGTTTACGGTAATCTACGATGATCTTCATTTTAACGTAAAAGACAATTTAATTATTGTGTATGATATGACAACCTTAAGTGATTATAATGAGGTCTTGAGTTGGCATTGTACTGCTTCACTACAACACTATACTTATGCAAATTCCCACATAAGCTACAATGCTACATGAATTTTCTTTTCTTTTCGTTTTTTTCCCCCTTTTTTTTGTTTGAACTAAATGAATTTTCTTCTTTATTTTTAAAATATAAATTTAAATTGAAGATAAACTGAAATTCTAAAAAGTGTCTCGAGTCCATGTAAATACTTTGATATCTCTCAACACTTTAGATGTTTATATAAATAAATGTTTTTAAAATTTTTTCAATCAAATATATTTATCATCTGATTTTAATTACAATAGTCGCGCTTTCTACTCTGAACTTTTAACTTACATCTCACCAATTACCATTTCGTTGGAGAAGAACAACTAATTTATACCATCGAATAACAAATAATCGATTTAACCACCATTTTTTAACTATATCTTATTTGGTAGAAATTAAAACATTAGGTTAGATCAAACTAAATCTTGAAGCAGTACCTCTGAAGTTGTGCCCATAACAATCTTATATTTAAAAACCCTAAGCTCTAGAATGAAGATGCCTCTTAGAGAGTGTCAAAAAAATATTTGGTAAATCGTCTTTTAATAATTAAAACAATAATATTTAGGAGGAAAAAAACAGACATCTTTCACCACATTTGAAGGAGAAAACACGAGATGATGTTCAAGACAAGCATTTAATGAACATCGTGGTTAGAAACATATTCAATTTCGAGATGTTTTGTCGTTTATCATTACAAGGTTGTTGTTTTATCCTTTTCATATCGGTAGTCTAAGTTTGGTATTAATTTTGAATGTTAAATAAATTTAATAAATTCAATATTTTCGCTTTAAGTTTGGGTTAGATTGGTATCTTGAAGACAAATTAATTTTTTTTCAATTGCGGAAATTCATTAAATAAAATAAAGTGAGGAGAATATTATGAGAAATTTGTTAAAACCCTAAATTTTCTTCTAAAGTTTGTCAAATTCAATTTCTATCAAGGGTCTGTATGATTTGTGAAAAATTTCTAAAATTTTTTTTTTTTTTTTTTTTTTTGTTTATCCTGACCACTGTAGATAGGAGATGAGATGTATTGCAATATTTAATAACGTAACAGGAGAAAAGTTTGTCATTGTGCCAAAATATCAAACACATTGACAAATAATCTATGTTTACATCGCTCGATTTTGTTGCATATACATAATAATTTACACACATGATGTGGTGTAACATAATTGGGTCAGAATTTCTTCGAAAAATAAAAATAAAAAATCCCCACTCTCTTTTTTTATTATGTAAATTTCATCATGTATAAGTAACATTATTCTCACATCGCGTGTTAGTCCCTAGTGCATGACTTTCCTAGTGCTCCTTCGGCTTCCTCTCAAAACCAATTGAATTCTGATTTTCCATCTGGGATTTTGACCTCAAAACGTTTATTTTCATTTCGTGTCCATATTGTAGGTATCAATTGATCCTGAGAGCCAGAGCTATAAGCATCGATAAAAGAATTAATTGTCTAGTTTCATACAGATTATTTCCATGTACATCACTTTCTTTTTATCTGAAATAAAATAGTATTTTAGAGTGCCCGGTCGGTTTTTACCAATTTTTTTGCTGCTTGCCCTACTCAAGATCCCATGTGATGATCAAGTAAATAAGTTAGAACCAAGAATAAAAGAAGTCAAATTCTATTCAATATTTTGATTATTTTCGAAAGAAAAACAGGGGAAGATGATTAGATGAAGTATAGAGATGAAATGAGAATTATGTATATTTTCCAATCTCCGATTGTAACTCTATGAGATATTGATTCTCAATAAAATATACACTCGAGTATTGACACATTCTATTTTCTCTTTCTTTAGTTCTGTAACATAAACATAATTACAAACAATTGCCAACTTCAGATCAAGAAAAAGTAGAACTCATTTTCCGCAATATTCGTTCAGTGGACTAGGCCTATAACTAATAAGTGGGCTTTTACATGGACAAAGCCCAAACCATTACAATTCCTACAATTCCTCTCCCCCATCTGCCATTTCACTCCATCACCCCCAGACATACCCCAACAACCATCGACTAGTGAAAATGACATCTACGGTGGTTAGAAAAGTCTTATAAAGAAGCTTACTTGTCCAGCATCACGGACTAAACATATTACAAATTCAAGCATAGTAAATTATACACAGTTTCTCTAATTGCAGGTGAAATTTGGGTATCTTATAATAAGTTTGAGAGTGCATCACAAGATTCATTAATTTGTTTTATACTTTACTAAACCTTATAGTAAACAAATGTCCAGTTCCACATGCTAGAGTTGACTTATCAACTAATCAACCAAAAACAATATATATATAATTTATTATTATTTTTTTTTTTACAAGGGAACCCGCTGCCGCTACCTTTCAGGTGCGCACTGGATAAACCCTTGAATTGACGCAATAGTCTGCAAACCACGCTTAATAACGTTTTTTGTACTACATTAATTATGTTCATATTTCATATTAGCCACTTCGTATTTTCTCACAACTGTCGCTCTCACACACATTCCAATCAAATACATATTTGCAAGACAATTTTTCTGCTTGTACAGAAGCTGTGGTGCCAGAATTTCACTAGATGCTAGCATCATCTAGAATTTTTTATTTTTTTTTTTCCCCTTGTCATTGTCTAAAAAGAAATTGCCATGCGTTTGCTGTGGAAATTCTGACAGAATATTTCTGTACACGGCAGATTTCTTTTGCAAGATAAATGGAATGTAGATGTAAGTATAGCCCAATAATCCTCGACAAATAATGAGTCAGACGAGATTCAATATTTTGAAACGCAAAATGATATATTTCCATTATATCATTGTTTAGCTAAGAAATCATGTCTTGTCCAAAAATGGACTCTTTCTTGAAGGAGTCAAAAATTACATTGTTGGAAGAGGAGAAGCTAAGGAACTGAGGAAGATTATTTTGATGAAGGAAAAAGGATGATTTATCATCTTGTGCCTCCAACATTATTGGATTAGTGGCAATTGGAGCCGGTTCTTGTTGCATCTGAATGCAAAGTGTTTCTGCTTGAGCCACAGCCAGCTCCATTTGTAGTTGAGAGACCTGGTTTTGCAAGTAAGATATGACACCAACGCACCCATAAACTGGATCCCTTGCTCGAGCATTCGCCTCGTATACTAGACTACTCACTGCATCTACTCTTTGGTGCAACGGGAGCTCCTTACAATATAGAGAAAAAATCATATGTTAGACAGTACTCGTACAAGCATGTTTAAGACACAGTATTGAACTATGAATTAAGCTACTTGTACAATCTTTGTGTACATGGAGCACTCGTTTGGTCCCCATTATTCTGTATTAAATTATAATTCATTTTTCTCTTTCTTTTATTACACGTAGACCCAAAAAATTTTCTTTTCTTTTTTTTTAATGACATATTCTTCCAAAAAAAATTATTATTTCTCTCGTTATAATGTGGAATAATAGAGCCAAACGGGACGTAACTTTGACATTCCAAGAGATGAATTCAATCCGGGCGGCGTCCAGGGCCCTGTTCGTTTGGCTTTAGCCATTCAATCCAATGTTAACATTCTAATTTGGATAAAATTAACAAAGTAAGCCTTATGGACATATTTGGAACTAATCCACAAGAATTTAACCTCTGTTTCATATAATCTTTAGTTCTGTAATATTTTAGGTCAACATACCAAGAAAGATAAACATATGTTGACCTTAATCCAAAAATTAACCCAACCCACCCACCAACCACCGCCACAACCTAAAGAAAAGAACAAATGCAAGTTTATATGAAAGTTGAACCAAATGCATAGACCCTTCTTTCTGGGTATTTGTTGCATGAAAAAAAAAAGAAAGAGAGAGAGAGATCTTGATATAGAGAGAGACCTGCAACATTTTGCTGATGTTGCTGGCACCAAAAACCTTGTGAACAATGGCAAATTTGTGAGGATCGTCAGATGGAAAATAAGGAGCAAAAACGCAATCCTGGGCACATCTGCGTCGAAGCAGCTTGCATGAAGCGCAGGGGGGATTTCCACCCATTTTTCCTTCAAAAATCTTCAGAAAAAGCTTTGAAAAAGAGAGATTTTTATGTATATATATCCTAAAGGTTGTGTAGAACAGAATTTTTTTTGGTGGGGAGAATGCATAGAATGGAGACGGATAGAGTATTTATAATAGGCGTAAACCAAAAGCTTGCAATATATTTAATTAATTTAGGAAGTGGTGCTAAGGTGAATAAATTATTAATTAGACTGATTAATTTAAGTATACTATCTAAGTTGATTGAGTTTAAAGAAACGGCTCGAAATCATGTGATAACGGGACTGAACGTTATCCAGTGAACAAAAAACAAATTAAGTATTGCTGTTGTCAAGAGATTAGTAGTTTCCTAAGCTGAATTTTTAGTACGTTACACTATAATTGTTTTTTTCTTCTTTCTTTTAGTAGCTCTAGACAAAGGATAAAAGATATTATCTAGAATACTGATCTACCTTAAAGTGTCTTTAGATGACACTTAGCCCCTGTTTGACCCCCTTTAAAACTCTTCAATTTAATTTAATTTAATGTTTTCTCTCTCCTACTTTCAACTATACAATCTTCAAAAAAATACTATTCCTCCCATTATAAATCCAAACGGGGGCTTAAAGTCTAAGATTAACATTTAATGCTCTCTCTCTCTCTCTCTCTCTCTATATGTGTGTGCGCGTGCGCGCGGGCGCAGTATTCTAAAAAACTAATCTAGGCGGCGCCTAGACACGAAGCTTAGGCGAAGAAACCGCCTTGGCAATTAGTGCCTAGTGTCGCTTTATTATTATTTTCCTTTTTTCTAAAAGTCCTTTAATTGACTTTAGTTTCAAGTTTTTATATGATTTTATCTGTACAAAAGTAAAAAATGAAAACACGGTAGAAAATTTAAAGTAGAACTTGTCTAGTTGAAAGTTGACACCATGAATAATAGTCTATCTTTTGCATTTTGAAAATTGATTAATTGTAAGAATTAATAAGTAAATATATAATTTTATGTCTAGACCTCTTCTAAGCTCATCTTGGCTCGTAAAGCTTAAAACTTAACTTCCACGCTTTACACTTTTTAAAACAGTGTACATGCATACAATCTCCTTCATTGCATTGGTGTGATTATTCATTTTTTGTAGCTCTGGAGGGATCTTATCCAGTGAATTAAGAAGTTGGCTGCTTTGGGAATAATAAACTAGGCATTAATTTTGATTGTAAAGTATCTATAGGTGACTTTTTAAGTGTAGCATCATAGTTTTAGAACTCTGCAAGTCCATTTTTTAAAGTATGAAATGTCCCTTCCCTATATATTTATATCAATATGATATTCATCTTTTAGTAGCTCTAGACAAAAAGATGCAAGTGATTATCTAGAATTATTGGCCGTAAAGTGTCTTTAGTGAGCTTTTAAGTAAGCCATCGATGATTAAGGGTACCCTTCTTATAAATATGAAATCCACAGCACTAAAACACAATGATTATTCATTTTTAGTAGCTCTAGACAAAGGATGCAATGGATGATTCTATACGTATATCACAGTATTCATAACGGTGCCTACCACCTTAAATGGAGGGAAACCCACTTTGAATAAAATATAATTTATCTGAAGTGGATCCCCTCCATATGAGGGGTAGACATCGTTATAGATATTGCAATATGTAGAAGTAGCATATTCTAGATGCAATACAGTATTTAGAATAATAATTGGCCGTAAAGTGTGTGCAAATCACATTTCTTAAGTTTTTTGCCAAATCCCCTCTTTACAATTCATGAATATAACCGAGTTTCAAGTATTAGACAGAACACTAAATGTCAAGACGATAAAATAAAAAACAAAACATATTTGATTCTTGTAATTTTTTCCATGAAAATAAAATAAAATAATGTAAATTCGTGTTATCAAATTGTTGGGAAATCCCTTTTCTCTCATTTTCACAGCTTGCAATGTACTATGCTTACCTTCTTATAAAAGTACATAAACATACGTGTGTGAACGCATTGTATGTTTTATTGAGACCTTAATTTACAAACACCTTCTCTAATTTTTAAAGCCTCTTTTAAGTAATACTTCTATTTTCTATAAATAAATCTAAACTCAAGATTTTGTTATTAGTGCAAACAAATAAAAAATAGGCTAGTACCATTTAGCATCACTGATGTTTAATACTGATCTAAGTGATAGCATTTGTGTCATTAAATATAAATTTAATTAAATGGAAGGATTCGTGACTCTTTTTATTAGGATCTATAACATGCTGATGTTTAGATTGATGTTCAACGTTATTGATGTTAGATAACATTATTTAAAAAATTTAAAAAAATAAATAAAAAAGACATAAAACCCAATTTTTTGAAACCATTCAAAAACCTAGTTGACCCCACTAGGGGTGGCTCAACGTGAATGTTTGTTTGGCAGACATTCACGTGAATACACACATCTCTCTCTCTCTCTCTCTCTCTCTCTCTCTCTCTCTCTCTCTAAAACTTGGTGATATAAAATTGGATTTATTAAAAAAGGTTCTCTCTTCACGAGGTGGTCTCAAAAGAGAGTCAAATTTAATAAGGAACCGTGGTTGTCCACGAAACTCTATGGATTCTTCTTTCTTTTGTAGAAATTCATGTCCTCGAAACTGTTTGGATTCTTCTTTTTTGGACAAATTCATGGTCAAATACTGGATATTTTTCCCCCTCTTTTGTATTTTA